CATTTACAATTTATTGAGCACCTATTATGTATTAGGTACTGCAGGGAGTCCTCCTGACTTCATCTAATCCTCAAAACAGCCTCATTCTAGGGCTTCCCTGGTGGCGCAGTGGTTGAGAGTCCGCCTGCCGATGCAGGGGACATGGGTTCGTGCCCCGGTCCGGGAAGATCCCACGTGCCGCGGAGCGGCTGGGCCCGTGAGCCATGGCCGCTGAGCCTGCGCGTTCGGAGCCTGTGCTCTGCAACGGGAGAGGCCACAACAGTGAGAGGCCCGCGTACCGAAAAAAAAAAAAAAAAAACCAACCAAACAGCCTCATTCTATAACAAATGAAATGGAGACTCAGAGGAATGAAGTGCCTTGTCCACAGTGACATTGACAATGATTTGGTCCCGAGTGTTTGGCTCCAACTTCTGTCCTATCAGCCCTACCACACATTGTCCCAAAACATTTACTGAATGTCATATTACTGCAAATGGGGTTTATGAATCAGGAACTAGGGCTCCTCTCCTGAAATGGTGTACTGTGAGAGGTGAGAGGGGTGGGCTGACTCTTGGAAAAGCCGAACATCTGCCTGAGGGATTTTAGCACCAAAGTACTTATTTAAAATACTTCCCAGAAGACCTGAGGAGAGAGTGATATTCATTTACCAAATCGTGCTTTAGGCTCAAATAATAACAATAACTACTACTACTTGACAGACTCTGTGCTAAGCACATAATATACATCCTGTCATTTAATCATTCTAGGAGCCCAGTGAGATAGTTATTATCCCCAATTTCCAGATGAGGGAGCTAGGGGGACCAGGGGATTAACTTGCCTAATCGCAAAGAGTGAGTATGGATTCCGATCCAGTTAAAAGCCAAGGCCCCAAACTTTAATCATCAGAATCTATGATGCCTGTTCGCCTGTTTGTTTTTTTCTCCCTCCTTCTTTCTCCCTTTTCTTTCTTTCTTTCTTTATTCTTTTTTTTAAGGGAAAAACCCTGGTTTAACTCTCAGTCAAGAAGCCTCTGTAGGGCTTCCCTGGTGGCGCAGTGGTTGAGAGTCCGCCTGCCGATGCGGGGGACACGGGTTCGTGCCCCGGTCCCAGAAGATCCCACATGCCGCGGAGCGGCGGGGTCCGTGATCCATGGCCGCTGAGCCTGCGCGTCCGGAGCCTGTGCTCCGCAACGGAAGAGGCCGCAACAGTGAGAGTCCCGCGTACCACAAAAAAAAAAAAAAAGCCTCTGCAGTTTCCTAGGGTGCAATTAACTAATTACTTCCCTTGAGTGCTTCTGAGTGTGATGGGTAGAGGAAAGAAGAAAATAAATACGTTTAATATCTAGTGGGTGCTAGGCAGCATGCTAAGAGCTCTTGTAGGACTTGTCTCATTTAATCCTACAAACCTCTATAAAAATCAGGTTCTATTTTTACATCTCTTTAAAAATAAGGAAACTGAGGTTCAAACAGGTACCCTGCCCCAAGTCACATGGATTTCAAAGGACAGAGCCAGGAGAAAGCATGATCTTCTGACGTTAAGTCCATTGCCAAGCCACATCACCAATTGCTATTATTTTCTCCCTGCCTTATGCTATACCTTTCAGTGTGATAGAGAAAATGATTCTTTTTGGGGTGACATTTGTCACCCCTTGCTTAATAGTGGTGAAATCTTGGTAATTCTACTTGCCTGTCAAAGTCTTTTGCAATCTGCCCTTTTTTTATTTAGTAAAGTTTATTTTCCATCACTCCCTTTTTGCTCTCTTACCTCTTCTCAAGCTGGTATTTCTGTGATTTCTATCCACTGCATTAATTTCCATTTCCACGCTTCCTATTCTCCACTAATCAAGCTGTATACACCTTTGGATGCCCAACTTAAGCACCTCCTCATCCATTCCTCATCTATTCTCATCCTCAGAGATGGTAACATTGGGTCACCTCCCAGCCCTACTCAAAAGCTTTCAGGGCTAAACTTTTATCTGCTAAACCAAACACAGACTTTTTTTTCTCAGCCTGGTATTCAAGTCAGTCATTCAGTCACAAATATGTACTGAGAACCAATTACGTGCCAGGAGCCCTCTAGGTGCTGGGACAGCTTTGGAGAATCAGAGGGTTGCTGCCCTCATGGTGAACAAGCTAGACATTAAATAATTACAAATAGTCAATTAAATATTTACTTGTCTGAAACAAGTAATTACAAGGCCCTCGACAAATCTGGCCTCAACCTATCTTTTCAGAGTTCTTTCTCATTCTTTTACTGTATCCCTGGGCTTACTCAGGCTTCCCCACCTCTGTGGTGGGTCCATGTTCACCCTCCAATCCTGAATGCCGGTTCCTCCCTGTTCCCCTACATCCACCTCCAGGACTGGCTTTAGTTCTGCCTCTTCCATGAAACCTGGCTAGACAACTTCTGCTAGACAGCTTTAGCCTGAAGGATATTCCCTCATTTGAATTCCTAGCACTTATCCATTCAACAAATATTTACTGAATGACTTCTTGAAATGTTTGATGAATGACACTTCATGAAAGATTTAAGTTATGTGGGTAATTAGACTTTTCCTACTGAGAGGGATCAAGGATTTTTTTTTCTTCTTCTCTTCTGGGTGGGGAAGAAGTAGAGATCAAAACTGTATAGTAAAACATACAAAACTATCAATAAGCAAAGTGACAATAAAAATTGCCCAATTACTCATAATCCTACCACTTGAAAGAGATCACCACTGATAATTTTTCTCTATATCTTTTTAGTGTTTTTGTTTTTTTTTTTCTGTTTGTTTCTCTCCGTGTGTCTACATCATTTTGGAAAATTCCTTCTTCCTCCAAATTAAATTTTTATCAAGAAAACCTTTCTTCTTATGGTCTTTTTAAAAACATGAAATACCTCTACCCCCTCCTTACTTGATCTCTTCTGCTTGGGAGTGCCATAGTTTTATTCTGAACAAAATTTAGGGAGTTTACTCAAAGACTCATCCATATCTTTTCCAGTTCACTGATCCTATGCACAATAAGAATCTGAACACTCTTTTAGGGCATTTACTCAGAAATTCTTTCTCAAGCCCTACTGCAGTTGACCTTTGGTATGGCACTCTACCCTAACTTCTTCAAGGCCTGAAATGGGTGGGACACTCATGTGGGACACATGAGTGTAGCCATACTCATGTACAAGCCACAGAATGTCAGGCCTACAAGATCATAGGAGATCTTCCAGTCCACCCCCTCACTTTGAGGTTGAGCAGTCGGTTGAGTACTTGCCCAAGATATTGCAGCTGGTGGCAGCAAAGCTGGAGATGCCAGCCCTGGCTTTCTTTCCAAATTGCCCCACTGTCTTCAGTGTGTCTAACAATCACCCTCAAACTATAATTAGACAAAAAACACTCAGTGGATGCCAAATAAATCGGATCTATTCCTACCACGGAAGGGGAAAAGTTTAGTAGAGATCAGGCTAGATCTCTCAGCATGGGCTTGTTTTGAAATGTCAGAGAACCATCTCACTGGAAATCTATATTGCCGTGAAAGGATTAAAGCACAGAAGAAATATTAGGGGCCATCTCTTTCTTTCTTTCTTTCTTTCCTTTCTTTCTTTCTTTCATGTTTGAGAAGTGGAGGACAACGAAAGGATGTAGAAAAGTCAGCCTTGCTCATAAACTGCAGTATCGTTTTCATGTATATTCAGCTTTGGTTCTTAATCTGATTTCTGTTAAGGTCACTGTGATCCAAGGTGCAATTCCCCCCAGGCAAAAAAATTCCAAGATTTGTAGAGAAACTGAGCCTCTTCAGAGAGACCAAGCCCACTTCACCGACAGCTTTCCCACCCTCAGTTTGCGCTCCAGTAAAGTGGTCTTTCCTCTGAATTCTAAAAATCAACGGTATTGGAATATCTTCTTACAGGAACCTAGGAAAGGGCGAGCTGTATGCAGTCTTCACAGAGGCGAGAACTGTAGTTTTAAGAGTGCTAAAGAACATTCCAGTGGGCCTGAAGGTCTTACTAGATGAAAGGTTACGGAAGGAGTCGGGGTGCAATTCAGTCGGACTGGAGTGGAAGCTGATCCACCTGGTAGGACTAGGGCAGAGGCAGCTCCAAGAGAAGGGAAAATCCAAAGGTAAGAAGGCGCTGGAGAAGAAAGAGCTCTCCCGGGGCCCGCAACCCAGCCCGCTTCTCCTCTGCTCACTCTCAAAATCTCACTTTAGGATGAAGAACACAGATGCTGCCCAGTGGAATCCCTACCTCTTATCGGCAAACAAAGGGAACGGTCTCCTTCACCCTTTTTGGTCTGAATGAGGGCTCGGCTTTACCTTTGAGTATCCACCCATCCTTCCTCAGGCGCCCAATGAGGCCGCAGCCTCTTCCTGACGGGCGGTGTTGAACTCTCCCAGGAAACGGACAGGTACCTCGGACCAATGGTTGGAGATGCGGGGGTCCAATGGGAGAGAGAAATGGGTCAACCTGGGGTTTGAGAATGAGAGAGCCCGCACGTTGGGGCGGGAGGAGGGGGGGAGGGCGACGTAGGCGCAGGGGGTGGAGAGGGGCGGGGCGGGCGGCTGGCGGGGCAGCCCCAACCGCGGCTGGAGGAACCTGCGGACCGGTCAGCGGCGGCCAATGGGAAGGCAGGATGGTGCGGGGGCGGGCCCGGGCGCCGTGAAGCCCCGCCTCCTAGGGTCCGCAGGGCTGGGGCGGAGCCAGGTCCGCGTCAGGTGGTCCCGGGCGTGCGGACGGCGCAGGGGGCGGGGCGCGGCGCCGAGCGGTGAGCGGCGGCCGGCTGGCGGCACCGGGCACCAAGCTGCGCGAGCAGGTACCCGCGGCGGAGGTGGCCAGGCCGCCCCAGGGGGCGAGCGCGAAGGCGGGGGCTCCGGCCCGCCGCGCCCCCATGCTGCGGTGAGCACTACGCGCTCCGCGCACTTGTAGCCGCGCTGAGCCAGCCCCAGCCCCAGCCCTAGCGAGCCGACTCTCCCCGCCCCGCCAGCCCGGCCCCTACCTGCGGCCGCCGTCGGGGGAGGGGGGTCCCCCCAGCTCTGCGGAGCCGCATGAACAATAGGCGGCGGCGGCTCCTGCGGGCGGCAGCAGCCCCGCACCCTATGGATCGGCCGCTCCATGGAGCCCTCCAGAGCGCTTCTCGGCTGCCTGGCGAGCGCCGCCGCTGCAGCCCCGCCGGGGGAGGATGGAGCGGGGGCCGGGGCCGGGGCCGAGGAGGAGGAGGAAGAGGAGGAGGAGGCGGCGGCGGCAGTCCCCAGGGAGCTGGGCTCCGACGCGCCGCTGCCCTACTGGACGGCCGTGTTCGAGTACGAGGCGGCGGGCGAGGACGAGCTGACCCTGCGGCTGGGCGACGTGGTGGAGGTGCTGTCCAAGGACTCGCAGGTGTCCGGCGACGAGGGCTGGTGGACGGGGCAGCTGAACCAGCGGGTGGGCATCTTCCCCAGCAACTACGTGACCCCGCGCAGCGCCTTCTCCAGCCGCTGCCAGCCCGGAGGCGAAGACCCCAGTTGCTACCCGCCCATTCAGTGTAAGGCGAAGGCGGGGCCCGGGAGCCTGGCGGGGAGCGGGGTGGGGGGTATGATGGACGCCTTGGGGTGGTCGCAGGGGGAGGGGAGCCCTCCTCGAGGGTTAAGCTTGGGTGGGCAATGATTGACCTGGGGGTGTGTGTGTGTGCGCGGGCTCGGGCTGCAGGGGCTTTGGCGGGTGCAATCAGTAAAATAGACATGCCGCAGGCCTCGCCTGGAACCTCGGGCGCTTGGTCTTCTTCACCTTCACGCGACCGCCTCAGCAGCAGCTCCTGATCCCACATCTTGAAGCCCCAGCAGGAGAATCTTCCTGTCTCCAGCCTCCCCGCCCCCCCAGTCTGGAAGGATTTTAGGCAAGCTGGTGGTTTCTGTCATAACATTAGTCCCCAAATCAGGGACCTTCCCGACCTCTTCTACCGCCTGTCCCCGCCCCTGAAAGGCATTTGCTTTAAAGGAGACGGGGGGTGTCTCCCGCAGGGCTGGGCTGGCTCACAAGTCCTGGAAGCCTGTGTGAACTCAAGGCTGAAGTATCTTTGAAATACGGTGTTGATTTCTTGGATCCTAATCTTGTATTTAAAAAGTGGTCCCTTGAGGAGTCTCACCAAATAATGTGCTATAAGGGTGTGTGTGTGTGTGTGTGTGTGTGTGTGTGTGTGTGTGTGTGTGTCTGTCTGTCTGTCTGTCTGTCGAGGCAGGTGATGAGTGGAGAAATGATTAGCAAGGGAAAAGTATGTCATTCCCCCATGAGAGATCAGGAGCACAAGATATAGTGGCTAAATCCCAGGGCCTTGACACCCAGACAATATATTTTCTCCTTTCTTCTCACCCTAGATCCTTGCCTATATTTGGTATTTGCCAAATCTCAGGGGGACCATGCCCAGGGGTCCCTCCCAGGGCCTTTCTTCTAGGGTCCTGTTTTCACCAGTTTCCCAGGAGCTCCCCTTTTCCACACCCTGAAATGAAATTTTCTTTGTTTTTCAAAGGAGTTAAATTGCCATTAGAATCCTTTAATCAGTGATGCTAGGTGGTTTTAGAAGAAAGATGTAAGTATCTTCTGGTGCAGTTTACACTATTTTGTATTTGAGGGTTTCCGTAATTTCTTTCCTGTTAAAAAAGTATTGTTAATTCACTTATATCATTATTTATTCCATATTTTGTATACTTTGTCTCTTAGCTCATTTAAAAAAGTCATTACCAAGGACCAACTTTAAACATTTAATTTTAAAATTTTATTTGTAACAGTTATTTTTCTGGTCCTGTAACTTATTTTCACCTGAACAATTATATCTTAAGATGTTTATTAAATACCATTTATTAATATCAAAATCATAACCTCTTGTTTTTCTACTGCCCTTTTTTTATTGGTGTTTTGACTGTCAAATTGATGTTCAAATGTTTAATTTCCTTTGTTTCTCTCTCCCTCTTACTCAGTTTAAAACTTCCTCCTTCTACAGTTAATCTTTATAATACCTGCAGGTGACAAATTACTTTAAATTGTTTCTAGGTGTTACACCTTTTTGCCTTAGTGCTGGAAAGATCAAGGCTAAGGGTCCTAGCAGATAATGTCTCGAATAATGTTGAAGATGAACTTGGTCACATACCGGAAGAGATGTTGGCCTGGCATGTTAGAAAACAGTGTAGTTTTAAACGTGTCAGATTTTGAGGGTCTTTGTGGGTGAGGTTTGGTGATTTTTTTTTTTTTTTTTTTCAGAGACAGCTAATATCAGAGTAGAAGAGCTCTGTGAGGTTCATGAACGGGAGCTGAGTTTCTTTAATATCTTGTGCTCGCTGCTGTGAGAGCAGTCAGGAGCGAATGTGACTTAGGTGGGAAGAACCCATGCACAGAAAGCCAGGCAGGTCTACACTGTGCCACTTTAGAAGCTTCTTCTCCATTGGGTGCCCAGGACTTCACCCAGACTGTAACAAAAGTTACCTTGGAGAGAGTAGATTCTGATATCTAAAACTCAGATGATGAGAAAGTAGGAAGTACCTTGTACTTATTGAAAGAATTGACTTGAACAACAGCATTTGAAGGTCTTGGTAAGTTATTTTATTTAGCCACACTAAATTCTGATCTTGACTGGAATTAATTTTTGATAATTCAGAAAATTTAATTCTAGTCAAAAACCAATTAGAGTGCCTAGTGAAAGAGAGATACTGTGTTAAATACCAGGGGATAAAGAAATGAGAAGATGAGGAGGTACTTAGAAGTCACACGTGAGGGAAATTGGTGATGTAAATATATAATTTCAGTGCAGTGCTTTGCTCAAGGAAATCTTGAGCAAATCTTGGTGATCTGATAAAGGGCCTCTGGTCTGTATGCTGTGTCCACTGGTTCATTTAGTGTCACTCAGAAAATAAAGGTGATTGTTGACCTTGTCTCCAAAGACTTAGAATGAAATTGAGCCTCCGACAACTTTTCCCCAGTTACTTTTTTCAACTTCCTCTCTGGGACATGAATTTTGATATTAGATTGTGAATAGAAGACACAAAGTGAAGTAATAATGTTCAGTTTTACTTTCAAATACTGCTTTTCAAAGTGAAACTTCTGTTTCAAACTTTAATCAAAACGGAAGAGGGGGAAATTATTAAATCTTGTGACAAAGAAAGCATGTAAGAGTGATATTATAAATCATGTAATGTTTATAGAGTGCTTTTATCCTCTCCAATGTAGGTATTAGAGTTTAGCTCTCCACGGGGCTGACAAATATAAGTAACCCAGGAGCTTGCTCATCTTCTTTATTTTAGTGAAAGATGGAAAATGTAAAGTTCCAAATGTATCATCTTCGGAGATATATAACCCTAGGTATTAAAAAAAAGCTTCTCTTACAGGAGAGTTGTGTCAGTTTTCAAGCAGGGCATAAGTTAAGGATATTACTAATTTACATTTCTTTTTCTTGCCTTCACTAGCAATATAAGGATGTATTTTCAGACGTACTTAAGATTTTTAAATGAGTGAGGTATGTACCATTCACTTGCTCCAAACTCACCAGAATGTGCCTGTATATTTAGTTTCCAGGGATATAATTGAGAGGGAATAACATCTTGACTCCAAGACTGAAAGAGATAAGGTTTTGTTCCTGAATTCCTGGAAATGTTCTTCCACAGAAACTGAAAAATGTGCTGTGTGAGAGTTGACCTGATTCTTACTTACAACCAGGTCTTGACTGGGGCAGGGAAAGGGAGGAGAGTCCCACATCCGCGCAGCTGCAGTGAAGGTCTAGTTTCTATCCAAAGGGACTTCTTAGCAGGGAAGGGAAAAGAAAGGACCCTCCCCACATCCCCCACTGTTTTGTCTTTCTTCTTGTAAGCTCTGTTCTATACGTTTTCTGAAGGCTGGTCATAATATTTCCTCGACGAAATAGCAAGAACCTGAGAGTTTATGTTCTACCCAGAGAGAGACCATTGCTTCTTCGCCTTCCCCACAGAGGTTTTCTACCTTCTGTGAAATACCATTGAAGGAGCTGTCCTTTCAGCACCCTGGTTCAGAATCACATCTTTTAAATCCCCATATGTTTAAATAAATATCTAACACGTCCTGTGTGTTCACAGCTACGCTTCAGACCAGAGGAAAGAAGAGGGTGGGTACAAGAGAAAATACAACAGTTAATTCCCTTAAGGAGAATTCAGATATTCAGTTGAGGAAATAAGGTATGTAAATGCACATTTATTAAAAAGGCACATATCTTTTCATCAGTGAAAAATCTGGCAGAAAAAACGAGTGTTTCTTCCGTCTATGACCATGGGGACTCCTAGGATAACTTACAGTTTTCTCCAAGAGGGTTTCTAATCTCTCTTTGACATTGGCATATTTTTCTCACTCATATAGATGAGATAAGGCAAGAATTAGTAATCAGTCAGCATTCATTTTAGGACCCAGAAACACTCAAGCTATTTTAAGCAGAAAATGATTTAGCACAAGAAGTTAGTTGCTTATAGATTTTTTTGGAAGGCTGGGGAGAAGGGGCTGTCAGCTGGACCTAGAGGACCAACTCCCAGAACATTGCAGACCTGGCCCACCAGGCAAGCTGCTGCTGGTCTAACTGAGATGGTACAGAATCAGGAGTTGCCATTGAAGCTGCTGACTTCTCAAACACCCTGTCGTAGTTGCTGTCCGATTAGGTGACTGCTTGGCCTTGCAACATTCCTTTCCACATCCACAGAGCTAATTGGACATTGACATGCTATTGCAGGAAAAACCCCACTTCTCCACAGCCATGCTTGCCAGAAGAAGCAGCAAGGAGATGGTCTCCATCTCACTTCTGCCTTCTGAATCTTGTGCATCTCATTGGCTAACCAGCACTCTGTCAAGGAGTCTGGAAAATGTAGTGTTTTAGCTTTCTGACCTCTGTAGTACTGAAAGGTGTGCTGGAGGATTGTAGAATGGATGTTGACTGCTAGTCTGCAGGACCTGCCACACCATTTATTCTTCAAAAAGAGTGCTAGATGAGGTGATAATCTTCTATATACCTAAAGGCAGTCCAACTAAGTTTTCCTAAGAGTTTCCTTTGTGCAGACTGCTGGGTGCATTACAAAATACAAATGAATATTAGCCCTAGATAGGATAGAAGTGCTATAACTAAGCAAAAACAGTTTTGAGCCCCAGCACCATCTGAATGGAGAATGAAGGCTTCATGGAGCTGGCTGAGAATGGAAGAGAACAGTCAGCGGTGGGCAGTTCCTCTTTTGGTCTTGCCAAGGGTTCAGAAATATATCTTTGTGTTCTTATTTTTTTTAGCAAAATGTGACTATTCTCTGTATTTGTTTCAGGAGGTCCAATTTAATTTCTTCCCCCCAGATCTGAGCTTGGTTTATTTCATACTGAGATAGATTTTTTTCCCTCATATTACTTCCCTGTCTATTGGTCACCAGCTGAATATTTGGCACGATAAGGACAGTGGTGAGTAAGACAGACAGGATCCACCCTTGTGCATCTCGCAGTTTAGCAGGACGATAGGCGATGAACAAGTAATTATAACCTTGTTGAGTCTTGCCAAATAGAGACTGCTATGGAAGTGCTTGACTCGGGCCTGACCTCATTTAGTCAGGGGGTTAGGAAAAGTTCCTCTATTAGATTGATGGTTAAGCTGAGACCTGAGGGATGCCTAATGAGTCAGCTAGGTAAAGACAAAAAAAGAGACTTAGAAGACAGAGAATAGGGTTTTGATGAGAGAAACATGAAATAGCACTTTGCTCGTATAGCAGCACCATATCTAGCCCAAGATTTATAATCACTGGTGGTTATTATTGACTATCCATGGAAGCCTTTCTAAGCAGAGCTAAAGATAGAATCGTAGTACCGTAGATTCAAACTCTGGATTTGGGATGGGGAATGAGTGGTTGGGTGTGATACTGGAAATCTCAGGGGTGGACCTGTGGCCCAGGTGACTGCTGGGGTAAGATGTTGCCTAGGAGACTCCTTACTCAAGCATCTTAGTCACCAGGTCTTGGTAGAACCAAGTTTTGAAGATCTCCCAATTTCCTCCTTACTTTTTCCTCTTGTCATCGTGGCTGCTGAGGTTCAGACCCTTGTGCTTGTGCTCCTGGGTTACTGCAGTGGCCTCCATTTGCTGTTATATTCCACATGGCTGCCAGAGTTGGTTTCCTTTCTAAGTCACAAGACTGACAACACTCTCCTTCTTAAAGATACGTGACTCCTACCGTTTACAGTGTGAAATTTAAGCCCCTCAGAATGGCTTTAACAACATTTCATGACCTGGCTGACCCCAGCAAGGCTTTGAGCCTCATCTACCCTAATGCTTATAATCCAGCTGCCCTGGACTCCCTGAAGTTCCTGATAGGCCATATACTCTCATGGCCTATGTTCTTTTTTTCTTTTTTCTTTTTATTGAAGTATAGTTGATTTACAATGTTGTGTTTAATTTCTGCTGTACAGCAAAGTGACTCAGTTATACATGTATATTCTTTTTCATATTCTTTTCCATTACGGTTTATCACAGGATATTGAATATAGCTCCCTGTGCTCTACAGTAGGACCTTGTTGTTTATCCATCCTATATATACTAGTTTGCATCTGCTAATCCCAAGCTCCCAATCCTTCCCTCCCCCACCCTCTGCTTGGCAACCACAAGTCTGTTCTCTGTATCTGTGAGTGTTTTTGTCTCATAGATAAGTTCATTTCTGTCGTATTTTAGACTCCACATGTAAGTGGCATCATGTGGTATTTGTCTTTCTCTGTCTGACTTCACATACGGTGATAATCTCTAGGTCCATCCATGTTGCTGTAAATGGCATTATTTCATTTTTTATGGCTGAGTAGTATTCCGTTGTATATATATATCACATCTTTTTTTATTTTTTCAACTAAATGCTATTTTTTTAAAAAATTTTTTTGGAGTATGGTTGAGTTACAATGTTGTGTTTGTTTCTGCTGTACAGCAGAGTGAATCAGTTACACGTATACATATCCACTCTTCTTTAGATTCTTTTCCCATGTAGGTCATTACAGAGTATTGAGAAGAGTTCCCTGTGCTGTACAGTAGGCCCTAATTAGTTATCTATTTTATATACAGTAGTGTGCATATGTATCACATCTTCTTTCTGCATTCATCTGTCGATGGACATTTAGGTTGTTTCCATGTGTTGGCTGTTGTGAGTGTTCTCCATGCCCCACGGTTCTTGCTCATGACCTTCCCTCTGCCTGGATTGTCCTTCTCCACTTGTGCTTCTCCAAAATGTCATTGCCTGATGAGATCCCTCCCACTCATTCTCTAGGGCCCATTTCAAATGTTTCCTTCCTTGAGAATCCCTTCCCCACTCGCCCTTAATCCCTGTCCTGTGGTGGGAATTAGTGATTTTCCTCATCTTTGGATCATACTGCTACTAAAGTGGTCTGGTTGTTGTGTGTCTGCCGTGGCACTGGATTTTATGCTTCTCACTACCTAGTATGTACACAGTGAAATGTGAATAAGTCTCATGAAAATGATCTCCCCCAATTTTCCTTTTAGTTAGAATGGTTGCTCTCGGTACAAGATTCTGCGTGATTTCCCAAGTGGAAGTTATTTCATGAATATGTATTGAATGCCTGCTCTGTGCTAGTCACTAAGGATAACGTAACAGAAAAAAAGTGAATCACATTTCCTGTCTTTAGGGAGTTTATAGTGAGAAGACAGAAAATCTAAGTGCGCAGACAACTTGCTGTGTTTACCCACCCAGGTAACTGGGTGATAAAATGGTGTTTTTCACATTTTTTTGACTTGCTTCTTTTTTTCTTTTCTTTCTCAGTGTTAGAGATTGATTTTGCGGAGCTAACCCTGGAAGAGATTATTGGCATCGGGGGCTTTGGGAAGGTCTACCGTGCTTTCTGGATAGGGGATGAGGTCGCCGTGAAAGCAGCTCGCCACGACCCGGACGAGGACATCAGCCAGACCATAGAGAATGTTCGCCAGGAGGCCAAGCTCTTCGCCATGCTGAAGCATCCCAACATCATTGCCCTTAGGGGGGTGTGTCTGAAGGAGCCCAACCTCTGCTTGGTCATGGAGTTTGCTCGTGGAGGGCCTTTGAATAGAGTGTTATCTGGGAAAAGGATTCCCCCAGACATCCTGGTGAACTGGGCCGTGCAGATTGCCAGAGGGATGAACTACTTACACGATGAGGCAATTGTCCCCATCATCCACCGCGACCTTAAATCCAGCAACAGTGAGTACGGAGAGATGAGGCTGGAGGGCTTACAAGCACTTTCAGACTCAGTCCGTGGCTTCGGTTGGAGTGGGTTCCTCAGGAATCTTAGTGGGCAGCGAAACGCTTTGCTTAAAACCAGTCCGTCCTTGACTTGAGATGTAGGGGGTGGGATGGATGCCAGGAAGAATTGGTTTAGGAGGAGAAGAATGAGGCACCGGAGGGGTTTGGGATAATTCTGAGCTTTCATTAGCAGGCGTGGTTGGCAGTATGTCATTCTGATGTACTGTGCAAACAAAACATATAGATTTATTTTTCCACTTGAGGAAGGGGTGCCTGTGATCACAAAAGGGGTTAAAACCTCTTCGGCGGAACAACCGGTAAAGCAAACCAATACCACCTGTTTGCATTTCTACCTAACTCCCCAACCTGAGGTCCCCACCAGAGAAGGGGTATAAGGCAGAAGGGGCATGTTGTTCAAGCTGGGAGGCCCATTCTGGTGGCCATTTCAACTCGGAGAGCGCGACCTGGCTGGTAGAACTACAGCCCTCCTGGTAGCCTTGGGGTGGTATTAATTAATTGTCATAACTGCCCAGTGTTTAATAGCAGGGAACTGAGCGGTAACTTTATTAAACCTCTAGGACCCATAAATTGGATTGTAAAGCAAGTGTTACACATAATTAAATGGTGAGTTGGTAGAAACTTCAGTCTCTTTCCTTGGCTGAATCAGCAGGCGCTGGGAGTATGCTTCTTTTGTGTGGTAATTTAGACTGTCCCTTGCCTAAACTGCATGGTAGAGAGGATACAGTTTGCTAAATGGCATATGCTTAAAATCACGTTGAGCATCCTGTCCAGAGAGGAGGGCGTTAGGACTTTGGGGCCCCAGGAACTTCACTGTCTGCATCCTTCAGCCTTGAGCCCAGAAATCCTTCAGGCTTTGTTCTGTCCCGAGCTGTTCCAGATGTGGCTTATTTTTCTGTTGATGCTATTGTGAATCTGTTAACTTTAAAAAATACGTTTTAAATTACATAGGTAGTAAGTGTTTTTGTTGTACAAAAATTAGAAAGTGTAGATAAACAAAAAGAAGAGAAAGATCACCCGTAATGTTTTCCTCCCAGTGGTAGAAGCATTACATTTGGCATATTTTTCCAGACATTTAAAAAGCATATGTGGAGACTTCCCTGGCGGTCTAGTTGTTAGGACTCCATGCTTCCTTCCACTGCAGGGGGCACGGGTTCAAGCCCTGGTCAGGGAACTAAGGTACCACATGCCTTGTGGTGCGGCCAGAAGATAAAATAAAATAAAATAAAAATAAAAAGCATATATGGCCTATATATACGCAAGTATACTTTCTGGTTTACTTTAAAATAGCATTTATTACCCTTACCTCTTCTGCCTGCACCATCTTCCCCCTTAATAAAAGCAAAATTCATCCTTGTGAGAGTATGGAGCATTAGATATGTATGTTAGACGTAATGCATGTGAAGGATTTAAGTTGCATAAAATAAAATCTGGTCTCTCTTTTCCTTCTGCCATATTCTATCTCTTTACTGTATGATTATTCTCATCCCTCCTGCAAAATTCTGTTCTATAAATGTATTAAATAAGTTAAAACTTTTGGTGACCCGCTTTTCAAAATAATTTCTACCTAGAGATTGCTTTGGATGATGGGGTAAGCACAAGCGGATGTGTTGGTAGAAAATGTGATATAGAAGCTGAATTTTAAAATGTTTTCTTACATCCTTATCTGGGAGATAAGGCTAAGTGCACTAACCTTATGTAATTGAGCCCATTTAAAAACTTGGGCTAGGATGATAGTAAAAGTTAATAATTTCCTCTGCGAAGTTTTAAATCTGGTTGTAATTTCAAGATGTAAGTACAAGGTTTTACCTTTTGTGACTTGCGTTTAGAAGTCTAGGCTCTTGTGAAGGAAAAGCTAACTTGCCAAGGTTATGCTGTTTGCAGGAGACAACAAGGGACCTGAATGTCATTCTGTCACCCTGGAGACAAAGCCCTGGTCCTTCTTTGTCTTTACGTGGGTTTTAGGATTGCTGAGGGGGACCTTCAGGTACGGTGTATGGTGGCAGGAGTTGGACTTACACATAGGGCAGTATTTTAAAGGACCTCGTCAAGACAGTTGAGGCCCTGAAATGTCCATAGCGCCCTGGGCTGCATGGGTGGTGCTGATGTTAATGCCTGCTGTAAATCTCGCATGTGAGTTGGGGTGGCTCCTTGACATTTGTCTGTGGGCGGGTGTTTGCCTGGGATTGAATTTATCCAACATGAGCCCTGATGACACCATTGCTCTTGCTCCATTGCTGTGTGTGCATGACTTGAAAATCATTTTAGAAATGTTATGCTGCTTGTTTGCCTCCAGTTTGAGTGTCATAACTTCTTTGTGTTTTGCAGACCTGGGGATACTGGCCAGGTTCTCTTGGTTTTTATTAGGGGCTCCAGAGAGTTGGATTTTGATCACAGTCATGTGAGGGCAGAATTCTATGAATTATATGTGTTAGTTGACTTTGAACCACTAGAGAAAAGAGTGAAGTATATAGGGGGGCTGTCTTTGTGGAAAAAGAAAGTAGTTGGTGATAAACATCTAGCTGTTACAAAAGGTTCAGTAAAAAAGTGATTTATTAAAATGCTTCATTATCCTGATGACCCACTTAAAAAAGTCATGTGCTGTTTGCCAGATGTGTATAGCATATAATATCCTACGTTCATATATCATCTGTAGTAAGTTGTCTTTGAAAAGAAGGCCAGGATGGGGTTTTAGAGCATCTCCACGTGTCATCAGGGACCCAGGCTCCTGTTTTTCTCTCCATCATCCCAGTACATGGTTTGCATCTTGGGGCTGTCGTATGGTCCAAGATGGCTGGTGAAATGCCAGTTATTTGGTCCAAGTCACAAGCCTGAAGGAGCAGGAAAAGCAGAAGCACAGAAGAAGCTGCTCCTGTGGCTGAGTCGACTCCCATTAACTTCCCAGAAGTCCAGCACAACGCATCTGCATGTATTCAGTGGCCAGAATGGAGTCCCACAGCCATGGCTAGCGCAGGGGCTGCTGGGAGATGGAGGATTTTATTCTGGGTGGCGTGGAGCCTAGCTAATAATCAGGGTCTGTTACCAAGGAAGAGAGAGAACATGGCTGGTGGGGAAGCAGCTGGCAGTCTTACCACGGAATCTGGGGACATGCATTGGGAAGATGTGTTATCCTAGATATGGAGCATCTTAGAGCCAAACGAGCAGGGTTAGCCAGGCCCTGGGACGTGTGGCTCAGACCCCTGATTTAACTGATGGTTTCTACTACTTTATTACAGTGCATCATTAACTTAAACATCTCTTCATGAAACTACTCACTAAAGCCCTGGCTATAAAAGTGGATTTATGTGTCTCTGCTCCTCACATTGGGGAAAACCAGCTACTTGATTGTTAGCAAAGGTGTTAGTGAAAGATGGTCTTTTAGTGGAAAGATTGTCCTTTGGGGGGTAGATAAGTGGATTTCAGGATTTTGGTTTAAGGGCATTTGGCAGAATAGCAGTTTAATAGGGGCCATTAAAAATAAAATTAGTATAAAATTGAGATATGTGAAAAAGCTTTGGAAAATGAAAAGCCTTACTCCAAGTGAAGGTAGTGTTATTACTTTTATTTTATTATTAAATAACTTCTTTCCTCCCCTTAGAAAGCACAGAAGAACATAGAGCTAAACACAATGTATGTTTTTCCATTTTTTTGGCATTTATGCATATTTGTTTTCACCCCTAAATCTTACACAGGAGACCCTAATAAGTCCATTGCTTGTCGTATGCTTTCTCCCCTCCCCACTGCCCCCGACTGCTTGGTGTATTGTGACCACTTTCTTATTAAATAAATGGTCTTCTGCCACAAGATATTTAAAGGTTTTACATTATTCCACTGTTTAGATACAGTATATTAACTAAACCAAACCCCTGTATAGTCATCGTCATCATCATAACCAAAGCCCTAAATAATAATAATAGTAATAAGAGTAATAACAATAACAACCACCAAACCCCCGTATAATAATAGCAACAAGAAGCAACTAATGCTTATTGAGTGCTCTCTTTAGGTCAGGCACCGTCTTAAACATTTTATGTGGCTTCTCATCTAATTCTCACAGCAGCCCTGCAGAGTAAAGACTGTGAATGTCTTTATTTTTACAAATGAGGACGTGGAGGGTCAGAGTGGGCAGCCAGTTCTCTAGGCTGTCACTGCCAGTCCTAAGACCAGATGTTGGGCCCAGGTCTGACTCCTCATGGCTGCACTGCTGCCGGCACTCTGCAGTGGGGCAGCCAGGGTGTTTCACTGCCCCCCTGTTTATTTTGTGTGACCCTGTAGTGCCTTAGTTTTATATAATTAGGAATAATATTCCTCTGCGCACAGGGAGCAGCCACATTTCATTGGCGTGTGAGGAACTCATTCTTAATTTCATAGCCGAAAGAGCAGAGGTGAGCGGTGAACCATATTTGGTTTGGGACTAGCCATCCCTGCCTTCCTCTTTTCAAATGTCAACGTAAACTTCTCATGGGTCTTTGCTGCCTTATCGCCCTCTTCTTCCTCTGAAGGCATTTCCCCCTTAAGCCAAGCCGGTTTCCTCCTTCCCCTGGAATATACTGTGTACTACTTCCCAACCACTGGGCCCTCATCACACTTACTGTTGCTATGGGAATAACCTTGCTTTCAGGAGTACCCTCGCCTCGTCTCTCTGCCTATCCAAACCCTACTCACTTTCCTGTGCTCAACTCAAACCTGGCCACTTCTCCTTCCCACTGGCCTGTCACTGGAGTCAATGCTAAGTAGTCATTTGGTGCTAAATCTAGATGATCTGGTAGTATGTAGAAGAATACTAGGGGGACAAGGGACCAGAGCCGCTAGTCCAGTGGTTGCAAGCTCAGATGCCTTGCATTCAGGGCCCATAGTCTGGGAAGCAGCTGGTGTAACACTGTAGGGCGTGGTGGGCATGATGGTGAAGTGAGTGCAGGCTCTACCCAGCACAGGCCATT